TTCCTAATTTTAACTATTAAGGCAATAAAAAGTGGTTTTATCAAATTGAGGAATGAATGAATTGGATTTCAGAATTCACCAATTAATCGTTATTATTCTTGACCAATAACAAAATAGTGTTTTTCAAATGTTATTGTTAATCAATAATTCGATAATGTACAATATTCTTTTTCAAAATATATTAAACATATATTTAGCACAACCTATTTCTTCTCTTATACCACACGCAATTGCACATGTCATAAATATTATTCTTACTACTTATTCTCCATGTGTTAAATATGTAGTATTTTACCTACCGTGAGTTTTCCAACACAATGAATAGGCAACTAATTGTTCAAATGGTGCGCGAACATTCAAACCATTGGATATGAATGCATAAGTAATCAAAAACAACAAGAATTAATTAAATTAAAGTCTTAAATTAAAAATAATAATTAAAATATTTATTATCCATCCAATACAATAAAATGTTTAGCCTGACATATTCATTATTAAATTACACAAGAAAGATTGAATTGACATCATCCGAAAACAAGAAGTAGGAAAAATCCACGTCTCAGCTTGAATATTGAAAAAGGGTTATGATTCTTCGATCTTCATATGTTCTTTCCTTTGATTTTCTCTCTAGACTTGTTCTTCGAGCTCAAAGTATGGTAGAATAAAGATTAGAGGCATTCTAAATGGCCTCTAGGTCATATAAGGTTGCCCAAGATTGTTTCCATATAAAGTTTCATCTGAATAAGGAAACTGAATATTTTCCCACGAAATATGCATTTTGGCCACATGGTATTAATCCATGCAGTCGCATGTTAGAAGTAGATTGGGACCTATTGGCATTTGAGGTGCTAATGTGGCCGCACTTCTTCAAGACATATGCAGTAACATAAGCTAAAGTTTAGGTTCCAAATTTACAATTTGGTCCTTGAACTTTTTGCAGTTAACTTTGGTCTCTCTCTCTTTTTTCTTTTTTAATTTTAAATCCTTTTCACGTTCCTTTCTTGTTAAATCTCACTTCCAAATCTTTATTTCGACATTCGCCACAATTTTTAATTATTTGGATATTAGTTCTCGAACTTTAGATTTACTTCAATTAAGCCCTTTTATCGCTCTTTTTCTCCAATTCCACCATAATATCGATGGCTAAAAATCAAATTGAACCGTTCACCCAATTTAGAAAAAAAAGGATTGCTTGTTTTACTCAAATATATATTTACTATTTCAATTTACATTTCAAAATAATAATAATAATAATAATAATAATAATAATAATAATAATAATAATTTACTTGCTAGAGTTGCGTGAAATTGAGACCACCCCTAGAAGGGGTATTTTAGTCTTAGTGTAATAGATGATTGAATTTGACAAGAATTAATTTTGGGGTAATTATATTACCACTACAAATTTTACTAAATGTACCACAATTTTTTTATTTACTAAAATATCCTTAAATAAAATTACATAATTAGAATTTTAATATACTTTTTAATTAAATAAATTATTGTTACACCAATTACATATTTTTTCCAAAATAGACTTCCCAAACTAAAAAGTGAAATTGCGAATTCATTAAAAATTCATAGTTCGAATAAAAATAGTAACACAAACAAATGACTAACAACTTCAAATGATCCTTTCAGACATATTAATTATTTGTGACAAGCATTCAATTTATTACGACACGTTGTTCTTCATAGATCTTTTGTTTTCAATTGCTATGAAATAAATGAGGGGAAAGGATGAGAAAATGAGGATTAATATTGGTTATAAGTATGAATAAATCGAATATTAAATTTATCTCTATTATTTCAATTATGAAACATGTCCAATTTATCAAACTATGTCATAAATGCTTCCTCAAGTTGGGTTTTAAATGTGTCCGATGAATTATTAAAACATTTTTATCTATGAAATTATAAGGTTGTTGTCGATAAAATTTCTTCATTTCCAATTAAATATTTTTTCCAAAATAGACTTCCCAAACTAAAAAGTGAAATTGCGAATTCATTAAAAATTCATAGTTCGAATAAAAATAGTAACACAAACAAATGACTAACAACTTCAAATGATCCTTTCAGACATATTAATTATTTGTGACAAGCATTCAATTTATTACGACACGTTGTTCTTCATAGATCTTTTGTTTTCAATTGCTATGAAATAAATGAGGGGAAAGGATGAGAAAATGAGGATTAATATTGGTTATAAGTATGAATAAATCGAATATTAAATTTATCTCTATTATTTCAATTATGAAACATGTCCAATTTATCAAACTATGTCATAAATGCTTCCTCAAGTTGGGTTTTAAATGTGTCCGATGAATTATTAAAACATTTTTATCTATGAAATTATAAGGTTGTTGTCGATAAAATTTCTTCATTTCCAATTAAATATTTTTTCCAAAATAGACTTCCCAAACTAAAAAGTGAAATTGCGAATTCATTAAAAATTCATAGTTCGAATAAAAATAGTAACACAAACAAATGACTAACAACTTCAAATGATCCTTTCAGACATATTAATTATTTGTGACAAGCATTCAATTTATTACGACACGTTGTTCTTCATAGATCTTTTGTTTTCAATTGCTATGAAATAAATGAGGGGAAAGGATGAGAAAATGAGGATTAATATTGGTTATAAGTATGAATAAATCGAATATTAAATTTATCTCTATTATTTCAATTATGAAACATGTCCAATTTATCAAACTATGTCATAAATGCTTCCTCAAGTTGGGTTTTAAATGTGTCCGATGAATTATTAAAACATTTTTATCTATGAAATTATAAGGTTGTTGTCGATAAAATTTCTTCATTTCCAATTAAATATTTTTTCCAAAATAGACTTCCCAAACTAAAAAGTGAAATTGCGAATTCATTAAAAATTCATAGTTCGAATAAAAATAGTAACACAAACAAATGACTAACAACTTCAAATGATCCTTTCAGACATATTAATTATTTGTGACAAGCATTCAATTTATTACGACACGTTGTTCTTCATAGATCTTTTGTTTTCAATTGCTATGAAATAAATGAGGGGAAAGGATGAGAAAATGAGGATTAATATTGGTTATAAGTATGAATAAATCGAATATTAAATTTATCTCTATTATTTCAATTATGAAACATGTCCAATTTATCAAACTATGTCATAAATGCTTCCTCAAGTTGGGTTTTAAATGTGTCCGATGAATTATTAAAACATTTTTATCTATGAAATTATAAGGTTGTTGTCGATAAAATTTCTTCATTTCCAATTAAATATTTTTTCCAAAATAGACTTCCCAAACTAAAAAGTGAAATTGCGAATTCATTAAAAATTCATAGTTCGAATAAAAATAGTAACACAAACAAATGACTAACAACTTCAAATGATCCTTTCAGACATATTAATTATTTGTGACAAGCATTCAATTTATTACGACACGTTGTTCTTCATAGATCTTTTGTTTTCAATTGCTATGAAATAAATGAGGGGAAAGGATGAGAAAATGAGGATTAATATTGGTTATAAGTATGAATAAATCGAATATTAAATTTATCTCTATTATTTCAATTATGAAACATGTCCAATTTATCAAACTATGTCATAAATGCTTCCTCAAGTTGGGTTTTAAATGTGTCCGATGAATTATTAAAACATTTTTATCTATGAAATTATAAGGTTGTTGTCGATAAAATTTCTTCATTTCCAATTAAATATTTTTTCCAAAATAGACTTCCCAAACTAAAAAGTGAAATTGCGAATTCATTAAAAATTCATAGTTCGAATAAAAATAGTAACACAAACAAATGACTAACAACTTCAAATGATCCTTTCAGACATATTAATTATTTGTGACAAGCATTCAATTTATTACGACACGTTGTTCTTCATAGATCTTTTGTTTTCAATTGCTATGAAATAAATGAGGGGAAAGGATGAGAAAATGAGGATTAATATTGGTTATAAGTATGAATAAATCGAATATTAAATTTATCTCTATTATTTCAATTATGAAACATGTCCAATTTATCAAACTATGTCATAAATGCTTCCTCAAGTTGGGTTTTAAATGTGTCCGATGAATTATTAAAACATTTTTATCTATGAAATTATAAGGTTGTTGTCGATAAAATTTCTTCATTTCCAATTAAATATTTTTTCCAAAATAGACTTCCCAAACTAAAAAGTGAAATTGCGAATTCATTAAAAATTCATAGTTCGAATAAAAATAGTAACACAAACAAATGACTAACAACTTCAAATGATCCTTTCAGACATATTAATTATTTGTGACAAGCATTCAATTTATTACGACACGTTGTTCTTCATAGATCTTTTGTTTTCAATTGCTATGAAATAAATGAGGGGAAAGGATGAGAAAATGAGGATTAATATTGGTTATAAGTATGAATAAATCGAATATTAAATTTATCTCTATTATTTCAATTATGAAACATGTCCAATTTATCAAACTATGTCATAAATGCTTCCTCAAGTTGGGTTTTAAATGTGTCCGATGAATTATTAAAACATTTTTATCTATGAAATTATAAGGTTGTTGTCGATAAAATTTCTTCATTTCCAATTAAATATTTTTTCCAAAATAGACTTCCCAAACTAAAAAGTGAAATTGCGAATTCATTAAAAATTCATAGTTCGAATAAAAATAGTAACACAAACAAATGACTAACAACTTCAAATGATCCTTTCAGACATATTAATTATTTGTGACAAGCATTCAATTTATTACGACACGTTGTTCTTCATAGATCTTTTGTTTTCAATTGCTATGAAATAAATGAGGGGAAAGGATGAGAAAATGAGGATTAATATTGGTTATAAGTATGAATAAATCGAATATTAAATTTATCTCTATTATTTCAATTATGAAACATGTCCAATTTATCAAACTATGTCATAAATGCTTCCTCAAGTTGGGTTTTAAATGTGTCCGATGAATTATTAAAACATTTTTATCTATGAAATTATAAGGTTGTTGTCGATAAAATTTCTTCATTTCCAATTAAATTTTTTTTCCAAAATAGACTTCCAAAACTAAAAAGTGAAATTGCGAATTCATTAAAAATTCATAGTTCGAATAAAAATAGTAACACAAACAAATGACTAACAACTTCAAATGATCCTTTCAGACATATTAATTATTTGTGACAAGCATTCAATTTATTACGACACGTTGTTCTTCATAGATCTTTTGTTTTCAATTGCTATGAAATAAATGAGGGGAAAGGATGAGAAAATGAGGATTAATATTGGTTATAAGTATGAATAAATCGAATATTAAATTTATCTCTATTATTTCAATTATGAAACATGTCCAATTTATCAAACTATGTCATAAATGCTTCCTCAAGTTGGGTTTTAAATGTGTCCGATGAATTATTAAAACATTTTTATCTATGAAATTATAAGGTTGTTGTCGATAAAATTTCTTCATTTCCAATTAAATTTTTTTTCCAAAATAGACTTCCAAAACTAAAAAGTGAAATTGCGAATTCATTAAAAATTCATAGTTCGAATAAAAATAGTAACACAAACAAATGACTAACAACTTCAAATGATCCTTTCAGACATATTAATTATTTGTGACAAGCATTCAATTTATTACGACACGTTGTTCTTCATAGATCTTTTGTTTTCAATTGCTATGAAATAAATGAGGGGAAAGGATGAGAAAATGAGGATTAATATTGGTTATAAGTATGAATAAATCGAATATTAAATTTATCTCTATTATTTCAATTATGAAACATGTCCAATTTATCAAACTATGTCATAAATGCTTCCTCATATTGGGTTTTAAATGTGTCCGATGAATTATTAAAACATTTTTATCTATGAAATTATAAGGTTGTTGTCAATAAAATTTCTTCATTTCCAATTAAATATTTTTTCCAAAATAGACTTCCCAAACTAAAAAGTGAAATTGCGAATTCATTAAGAATTCATAGTTCGAATAAAAATAGTAACACAAACAAATGACTAACAACTTCAAATGATCCTTTCAGACATATTAATTATTTGTGACAAGCATTCAATTTATTACGACACGTTGTTCTTCATAGATCTTTCGTTTTCAATTGCTATGAAATAAATGAGGGGAAAGGATGAGAAAATGAGGATTAATATTGGTTATAAGTACGCCACAATATTATATTATGTTCCCTTTCAATTCTTTGTTTTTATTGAATTTGGAATATAATTGTAAAATTATTGTGGTGTATTTATTAAAAATATATTTTAATTGTTGCGTGATTATAATATGTAGTAATTAAAATTTGTAGTGGTAATATAATTAGCCTTAATTTTGCAAAGCAATATTTTTATAGCATTAAAGCATATTTCATAGAATTTATCAACAAACACTCCAATTTAACGGTCAAAATAAGTGTATAAAATACGCTTATTAAACACTTCCAAACTTAAACCTTTATTTGCCCTTAAACAAAATATAGTCTAGCTCAATCTAAACTTGGTTCGATGACATGCAGTTAGTCTCAAAATTGAATATTTGCATCAATACTATGAAAAGTGTCCAAATCACAGTTGAAATTAATCTCTACTTATTTAATGCAAAGCTCAACATGTTTGTGTAAAGACTCATATAAAACATCATAAGCTCACGACTAGCTTAATTTCCTACCTACAATAGTCAAATGTTTACATTCTCCACTCATGAAATACACACCATAAACTTCTGTTTCACTTTTCCCAAGGTGTGTACTTAAGTTGAAGTTTAGCTGATTCTGAACTTTCCCTCTCTTGCTTGAATAGATTTCATCCATACAAATTAACACTTCAACAAGTAAGAATTCTCCTATATTTTTTACTGCTACAAATTGTAAGACTCAACTAAGTTACTTGTCTCTTATCAAAAGTTTAGTTATTTCAACTAAGTGTCCAAGGTTTCATCAAAGCATGTAGTGCATCTTCTATTTCATGTGCTTACTTTTTTTAAATTATATTGTGTATATTCTGTTTCATGCACTAGCTTGATCCTTTTTTTACTTTTCATTTTGGGATCTTCAATAGGTGTCATCATTGGGATATTTTAGGGTAGTTTCGCAGTATAGCAGCTTTTACCCTTTTTCATACTTAAATAGTGCAATACTCCTTATTAAATACTTAGTATGCGTTTGGTTTATCGTTTTAAGACCATTTTTAGTTTCAGTTTTCAAAAATATTCAAAACGTGTTTGGTATTTTATTTTCAAAAATGCATTTTCGAAAATAAAGAAAATTTTATAACATAAAACTCAAATGGACTTTTTGACACAATGAAATCACTCAAAAAAAACTCGAATAAGGAAAATGAACTTAAAATACCTACCCAAATACAAGCACTGGCCCTCCAAAAGCTCCTCCAAAATGTCATAACATTATTTCTAAAATTTTTAGATTAAACACAGTTTCCTTTTTTTTTTTTTTTTTTTTTTTTTTTTTTTTTTTTTGAGAAACAAATTTTTAAAATGATAAACCAAATACGTTTTCTGCAATTTTAAAATAATCCCTTAAAGCAAAAAATAGAAAATAAATTCAAAACTAAAAAAGAAAGCAGAAACGCAAATCAAATGCATAGTTAGTTTTCAAAACCAACCCCTAATCAAGACTTTCACCTAATATTTGTCTAATCCGTTATAGACAATCCACACAATAAACTTTCACATATGGAACCCTTAGTTATCTAAATGTTGTCCTATGCCTACATTCAACTTTTCTCATAATATGAATCAAATCATAAACTCAAAATGTAAAACATTGGTGTTGAGTGCAATGAAGATTAAGTTTCAATTAAACAAGCATAAATCAACTCAAAATGTAATATTTCCATAATTCTTATGTCTAACGCATAATTCCAATATATACATCATTATCGGCAAGGTCATCTAGCCCACAAAAACGCACAAAAGTAATAAAAAGCCTAAAAGAAAATATTTTTGTGATTTTCTTCTATTTTCGAATTTTTCTTACACTTGACAATCACACTAAAGCAGTAAACCATATACAATCGATGATAAGTCAGAATATTCAGCCACTCCCAAACTTAACACGTGCATTACCCTCAATGTACAAGAGTAAGAAAATAAAATGCATAATCAAGAGTGAAGAGGGATACGGAGAACTCCCCTGATCAGTCTAGTGGTGGTGGTGGAAACAGTAGAAAAGTCGTAGAGCCTAATGGATCTGAAGCTGATGGTGGAGATAGACGTGCGAGAATATCTCCCTAATCATAGGAGACTATTGTTCCCATCTTGACTTGCATGCCAAGAACTATATCATATGTCTCGTCTACCGTAGCTGTATTTCGTCAACCCGTGCCACATAACAATTTGCCTGTTCAATAAGAAGATCAATCTCCTTATAATATCTGGCCACATCCTCCTGAGTCTAGACCATATCATGTCGAGTCACCTAAATATCAGTACGCGTAGTCCATACACCCAACTCCATGTCTATAAATGCATGTTACATAGCCTGAATAACCCAACTAGTACCTGTTGAGGTTTTTAACAACTAGCGAAACAACTATGTGTCAACGAAAGGCTCAAGTGGTGAAACAAGAGGCATGTCAACATTATCAGCCCCTTGGCCATCTACAACCTGCTGTTGTTGTCGTTATTGCTCACGCTTTCTGTATTCTTGCCTAGATCATGCCAACGCCTCTATAGTCTTATGATCAATCAGAGGGCTCTCAGTTGTAGGTGGTCTCTTGTAAGAGTCTCACACCTGATACTTTGCAGATTCTACTAATGAGGCTTGAGAAGATAAATGTGTGATGACGGTCCGCCAATATCACTAACCCCAAGATTAGATTGTAAATATATGTGCCCCAAGTCAACCTTCATCTCTCGAACCAAATTAGAAACCTCGCCTTTGCATTGTTGAAAGTGTTCCGATGAGAGGTGGGATCAATCTGGTGGCAATAGACTTGGTCAGTTCGTTAGAATGCCATTCGGTTGTGCTAACTCAAGCTAGTTGTCTACCAAGAGTAATGCATAATATTGTCCCTAATCATCCCATAAAATGATCTGTTACCTCAGGCGTGAGCATGATCCATTTATCTCTGACCCATGTCTGGTATGCATGTTTAGAGCCTGGCACATCAATTTCCCTGTTGAAATCTGCACATAACTCCTGCATTAAAGTCTTGTATATGGGATGAGATGTGTCGATGACCTTCTGCCAACTGGATCTCTATATCAACGTTTAAATGTCTTGCCCTCAAAATCTCCTATAATTACTTGTCATTCGGGCAAGACAGCCTATCAGCATATGACCTACTTGAATTGAGCTCAATGCTCTAGAGTAAAGAATATCCTCATCTCACTTTATCAACATGAGTCAGTGCTATGGTCGATGAGGAGGCCACCTTTCCCCGTTCCTTTTATGCTCCTCTTAGTGGCATCCTATCAAATAGGAAAAATAAGCTCATTAGTCATAGTTATAGCGATAGCGGAAAATATATGATTTATTTATAGTGCATCTCAAGGGGTAACGGAGAAGGATGTGTGCAATGCAATGCAAGAACGTGGGTGACGAGGCTGGGAATGCAAGTATGAATACACGGACTCGTACTGGGACGAAGGGAGATGCTATTTCGGGATGAACTGAGAAACGTGGGGAAGTAGGCTGAACCTCCGTTCCCTTCCCCAACTTCATGCAAAACTAATGCACTTTCGAAAGCAATGACCTGAAGTTATTAATTTTTAACATGTTTCATGTAAATCTTTTACAAAAAAAATCGACCAAAATTCCTACTTAAGCATTTCAACAAATGCCTATGATGCATGAAATGTGAATAACATAGTATCTTTTTAGCCTATAATTGCTTCCAATTCACAACCAAACCACAACTTCATCACAACATCAACCCTGTCCTATATGTGCAACATGCCCATCAACCCATTTTGAAAAAATGAACAAGAATTTTGGACTTTTTCATGGGAAGCCAACATACCTTGATATTCTTGAATATATATGTTTCACAATGGTGATTCATTGTGAATTGAAGCATGAACGATACGAATATTAATGTCCCTCGTGAAATTTGGACAAACTGAAGGAAACATTTGGGAAGAAATTGAGTATCTGGGAAAGATATTCCCTAAGGTTTCAAATTGGGGAGGTTTTGGATAATGCGTTTAAGTGGTCGGTTGAGGGTTAAATTATCCCAATCATCACAACTTTGCGGTTGCATGGAAGGGACCAAAGGTCCCCGGTCCAATATGGATCACCTACGCGACCGCGTGGGTGAGTAGCCCATGCGATCGTACGGGAGATCAACTGGGGAAAATCTTCCATTACTCCGATTTTTGACCCTCTCGGACATTCTTGACTCTCTTAACCTCTTTTTTGTGTCTAACGTATTTTAAAAGGGATAGCAAGTCTGTAGAATATGGAAAATTTTGAAAATCGCTCTTCCCTTTACAAAACATGTTTCTTGTCAACGTTAGCTGAAAACTTCATTTTTCACACCAACATCTAAATTTTTTCATAATACTTCACCTAAAAATGCTCTCAACATTCCTAAAAATGTTGGCAAAGTGTAAAAGTAGTGTTGAATACAAAAAAATTTATGAAATTCAATTTTCTCCCTGACTAACACACTCTTGAGTTGTTAAATGTCTAAAAATCTCGTTTTCTTTCCTAAAAAGCATGATTTTCGCTAAAAATAACCTAGATGTGTTTTCAACATCCCCATACTTATGTAAAACACATTTGAAAATTATGTGAACACATGCATGACACTTACTACCTAAGTAAGGGACGAATGACTCCTAAACTACTCCCAACACACTAAAGCATAAAAATTCATATCGTAGTGCATCAAATGTGAATAAATAGAAGGGAATAGGATTAAGTTATCTCCAAATAAGCACTTGTTTATTGTCTATAGCTCAACTTAGTTGTTTAAACTACTCTGCACTATCAAGTGGCACGATTTTCTTCTCATTGGACTAGTTACCTCCCCAATAAGCTTTTAAGCATTGCTCATTGAACTTGAACCTCCTCAAATGATCTCGAGACACTGCTACCACTGCACCATGTGGAAACATATCTACGACGATGAAAGGACCCGACCACCTGATTTCAGCTTGCTAGAAAGAGTTTGAGGCAAGAATTGAACATAAGCACCTGCTAACCAACCTCGAACTGTTTTTCTTTGATGTGCCTATCATGCCATCTCTTAGTCTTTTTTTATATAACTTGGCATTTTCATGTTTCGTCAACCTGAATTCATCAAGTTGATTGAGTTGAAGGATTTTGTGCTTTCTAGCTAACTTCATATCAAAATTAAGTATGTGTACAACCCAATATGCCTTATGCTCCAGCTCAATTAACAAGTGACATGCCTTGCCAAATACCAACTTATATGTGTGTAGCTCAATTCATCAAGTGACATGACATGCATTCATTGTTGCCTTAAAAATCCTTTTCAACTCCCTATTGAAAATTTCCACTTGCACACTAGTCTAAAGATGATATGGAGCTCAGACACGATGCTTAACTCAGTACTTAGCTAATAATGCTGCAAATTGGTGGTTGTAAAAATGCTTCTCACCATCACTAATAATAGCCATCGGGGTATCATACCTCAAGAAAATATTATTTCTAAGAAACTGAGCATAACCCCATCGTCATTAGTTGGCGAAGCTACAACCTCTACCCATTCAAACAGGTAATCCATTGACACCACCATGTACCGTTGACCATATGAAAAGGAGAATGGTCCCATAAAGTCAATACACCAAACATTGAATATTTTCACTTCTAAAATGTTGTTTAAAGGTATCTCATTCTTCCTTGAGATATTTTTGGTCATCTAACGATTATCACACCTTTTCGCAAAAGCGTGGCATTCTTGAATAGCTTAGGCAATAAAACCCCAATTGTAGAACTTTTGCTATTGTCTTGGTTGCTACAAAGGGAGCCTTATACGGCGAAGAGTGGCAATGCTCCAACAAATGATTCTATCCTTTAGGCACACAACGATTGATAATTTGATCTAGACCCTGCCTGTAAAGAAATGGATTATCCCAAAAGTAGTGCTCAAAATCATTGAAAATTTTTCTATTCTCATGACTTGAGTACTCCAGTGGGATGACGAAACTGACCAAATAATTTACTTTGTCTACATACTATAGTGTCATCCCAATCTAAAAAAGCATCTCATCTAGGAATTCTTCATAGATTTTGTCTATAGGATCCAATTCTTGTGATTGTAGGTAAGATAAATGATCTATAACAACATTCTCGATTTCCTTTTCGTCCCAGATCTCCAAATCAAACTCCAGCAACAGAAGTATCCATAAAATTAGTTTGGCATAGTGAATAACTTATGTGATCTTGTCTTTATGTTGACTCAAAACTGCCCCAATTGCATAGTCGCTTGCATCACATATCAGCCCAAACAAAAAATTTCAATTTGGAGCAACCAATACTAGAGTTGAAACCAACTTTTCCTTTAGAGTGTTAAAAGCAACCGAATACTCTTCGAAAAGATGGAAAGGAACATCATTTTCCAACGAGTAATCTGGTTAAAAATCAAGTCAACTAGCGATTTATATATTAAATTGTCCATTCAATTTATCAAGTTTCAAATTTCTCTTTAAAAATTTTGGTCCGAGGAATTGAACTTTGAACCTCTAAGTAAAATAAATGGCTCCTCAATGCTGGAACATACAATAGAATTTTTACTTTTGTGCAGTAATCTATTTATATCCAAGAATCATTTATAGGCTTTCTCAAACTATATTGGAGTTAATTGTCCCAATAATTATTGAACTTATGTCTTTGTCAATTTGATTGCTCACAAAGTTTTAGATGTCCAATTTTCGCCACTAAACTTACCAAATTTTGAGCGTTACTCGCTAACATGACATTCATTACACAACTCCAACAAAATTGATGATGTGGCAAACGGAATGCACAATAGTGCCATAAAGCTGTACATCAAAATACTACGTAAGAAAAGACGTATTTGATTGCTCAATGTACTTTGAAAGACATCTTTGATTGCTTGTTTGGTAAAATCTCGTAAGCGTACATGATTGTTGACAAGTAATAAATTTAGTAAGTTGAGAGTATCGTTCCACGGGGAGTAACTTCAATTCAAGTTTATTAGTTATGTTTGGAATTTAAATTATGTAAAATAAAAGAGAAATTTTGATTTTAATTTTGCTAAATTAATCTAACAAAGCAACAAAGTTTAATTTTTATCAAATTATGGATGATTGTATTGAATATAGAGTCCGCCTATTACTATCTATTTCAATTCTTGATTCGTAATCTAGTTCTATTCATGCGTTCATTATAATCGATAAAGCTAATGTATTTAACTTTCTTTTTCAAGTCAAATTAATTCTATCCTAACCACAGTCCAAATATATTTCTAACCAGAATTCAAACGATTAGAACGTATTAAATTTTAGATTATCTATATGATTGTACAAATGATAAATGTTATTCCATACATCCATTACACATGTTAATTTTGTCACGTTCTAAACTTATTGTAAGTCTTTTAACACTATAACAAACAATTAATCATCTAATTGGAGGCCAATCAACTAAATAATGCAATGAGTATCCAAAATTAATCAAGAAACACAAAAATTAAACTATACTACTAGGCTTAAATTAGAAATAAATAACAAATAGGGTTCATCTTCATCTGATGCAAAAATGGATCTAGCCTAGCATACTAATATATAAATTACAAGAAGATTAATGAAAAAAATCATCAGGATCATGAAAGAATACAAAAAACGTTTATCTTCAAGTCAAAAATTGAATTCTTCAATTTCTTAATGTAATTCGCCTTCAATTCTTGCTAGGGCTTGATCCACTCCCTCAAAATATAATAATTAGCCCCTTGTTTTTGATGAATTTGATAATACAATTGTGTATGAAGAGGCAATAGGGGGTTTCTCCAATGTATAACCTTTGTTATCTATTTTATAATGAGCCAAAAAAGGTCAAAATCACGTCCAATTTTGGTACCAAAAGAGTTTGAATCGCATAAGAAAACTGCTAATTCGTCTACGAAAAATGGCTCTCAGGTCAAACTTTTGGTGCCTTGCTCACCCGCCAAAATTGTCGCGCGGTGTATCTCTAAACAACTTTCAGTATTTTAGTTATAACTTTTTCTTTCAAAATTGATTGAGATTATTTAAAGTGCGTTGTAAAGCTAAGTCAAAGGGATACAATTCTTTGAGGAATAAAGTTTTTCCAAATCAAACGTTTGCTATCCAAAAAATGGGTCTCAAGATGAGGCCAAAAGTTCGAACATAACTTCTTCATTTGGAAATTGATTTGTGAAAATATTTCAACTATATTTTACTCCTTTGACTCCAAATTGCGTCCAATTGATCATATGTGATTTTCAATCATCATTTTGTGGTCCGAATCAATTATTAAATTCAAACTTTGGCCTCAAACTTTGGATTCCTTTCATTTTTTTCCCTTTTTCATTCATTTCTTCCAATTCCACCAATTTGCATTGAGTTCAATTTAACAAACATAATTAACACATAATTAAACTATAACTCATTCAAGTCACTAACAAATACTCCAATTTATAGGCTTAGATGAATGTACAAAATACACTTGTCAAACACCCTAAAACTTGAAAGTTTATTTGTTCTCAAACAAAAGTATATCCTAACTTAACCAAAAAAATTTAAAAACACATGGTTAGATAATTTGCGTTTGTTCTCAGGATTGTAATTCCAGTATTAAAACTATGAATTGTTTCAAAATCACATCGCTGAGATCAATTTCTACTCATTTCAATGCAAAATCGACGTGTCTGTGTGTAAGAATTTATGTCAAGCATCATAAATTCATGAAGTTATTTAACTCACGACCCTCGATGGTCAAATATATTATTTCTTCTGTCGTAAGATTCACATCCCAAACTAATTTTTTAACTCTTTGCCCAATGTGTGATCTAATATTGAATTTATATAGTAGTCCTCACTATCTCTGGCTTGGTTCGATCTTACTACTTGCAGCTCAACACATCAATAAATGAAGATTCTCCTTATTTTTAATTGCTCAACCTTCAAAAATCAACTAGACTATTAACCCCTTGTTAAAAGTCTAAACTTTCAAATAAGTCTTTGGGGTTTAATAAAGGCATGTAACAATTTTTTTTGTATGGATATTTTTTCTTTTCTAACATCTTATGAGCTGACTTGTTTCCATTAAGTTTTCTAAATAACCCCTGTAGCGAACTTTTGGCTGATGATTCCCAAGTCAGATGACTTTAGGATACTAGGTTAATACGCTGCAAGATTAATCACTCGAGTCATAAAGGCTATGAATAAAAGTTTCATAATGAAACACTTTTTTTCCTTTATTTTTTTTTATTTTTGTGCAATGATTAGTGCAATTCCCTTTATTAAAAATTCATTCTCAAATAATTGACCCTTAACTTAAGATTTCCACCTAATTTTCACTCATTGGCCTTAAATAAAACACACAAAATCTAGCACACATGGAATCCACATTTAT